CTGTACTTTCTACTCTACATTTTTAAAAAGGACTGTAAATTAAAACTTATTTCTCTGTATAGTTTGAGACCTGCTGAAAAGACAAAACTTATTTTTAGTCCATTTAATTTGAGTTAATGCCCCAACTTTGAACAAACCAAATACAGCAAACAACAGCTAAGAAATCAATTCAGTCACTTAAAATCAGCTGATTTCTTTCAATTGCTGAATTGTTAAAAAAAAAATTCTGCAAATACTTTTACTTTTTACTCTTAAAGTGCAATTTTAAAGAGGTACTTCAATAGTTTTTTACTTTAGCTTCTATTTCTGTACTTTTACTTAAGTAAACTATAACAGCAAAATGAAGTACTTCATCCACCACTCGAATCTGCAGTGTCAAAGAAAAGGAAAGAAAGAAGCAGCCTAAAGGGTCCAAACTTTGGAGTATTGGTAAAATGGACTCCCGGACGCGGGGGCTCCCGGACGCGGGGGCTCCCGGACGCGGGGGCTCCCGGACGCGGGGGCTCCCGGGGGCTCCCGGACGCGGGGGCTCCCGGACGCGGGAGCTCCCGGACGCAGATTCCAGAAAGTACCTTGTGCTGAGACGAGAGGAACGACATCAGAATGAAACAGGCCAAACTTTTTTGGGTGGAAATTGGAAAAAAAAAGTTTGTCTGTTAATATACTCAATCAGACGTTTTTGAGCTATAAAATGTACTTGAGTCTACTTTACATTTATTCAAAGTAGAGCTCTTTAATGTCGTATTGTGGAACATTCCAGGCAGAGCAATGACGTATCCATAGAAACAAGTAAGTGACTGACTCCAGCAGAAAAGTTACACGGTGCAACTTTAAGGATTGGCTCCACAGATCAGATTTTCAGATTAAATTATTAAATTAAATGATTGCACAAGCAGCTCCTGAGGTCAAAATAAGTTTACTACACGTCATCTGCACCCAACTATAAAATATCTTAATTGTCCGATAATCAGGAAGAGCGCAATTAATATGCTAGTTGTTGGTTTGACTGTGACGGCAAAACTGCTCTGATCTGAAAAACTCTTCTTTTTGTGGTAAATCTTTAGTCGTTTAGTTTCCAGTCCCTGTAACCAAAGTCAGGAGTGAGATTCTGATCTGGTTCCATCCTTTGGTAGAATCTGAAATACACACAGTGAGTATTTAAAGTTGTGTTTGTGTGTTTTGGTGCCAGTGTGAGGGCCGCGCCAGCTCACAGCAGGGGCCCGGCTCCGCTCTGAAACCACCACAATACTCTGTAGTACTACCATTGTTGAAGTATTTGTGCATTTGTGTATAATTGGGACATTGTTGGCTTGAGCTTCGTTTCCAACAATTCCAAGAATCTACAATTTAAGATGGTTTTTAGTTTATTTTTCGTTACTGTGTTGACAAAATAAATACTCTGGAGTTATAGTTTGTGTAATAGTTGAAGTGGTTATAGTTGGTGATAGTTTTTTTTTTTTTTTTTTTTAGCTACTACAAATAGTTACTACTAGTTACTAGAATAGTTCACTACTACTAGTACTAGTTCTATTACTGCTCCTTTTTTACTGCTATTTTTCATTAGTACTACTATTTTTTACTATGTCAGCTACTACTACTAGTACTTAGTATTACTGCTAATACTAGTATTACTACTTTTATTACTATTTTTTTTACTACTAATTTAACAACTACTAGTACTACTACTACTACTTCTATTACTACTACTACTGCTATTACTACTGTTACTAGTATTACTACTTTTACTACTACTTTTACAACAACAACTTCTGCTACTACCACTACTACTGCCACTACTACGTTTACTGCTAGCTTTTTACTACTACTAGTACTACTCCTACTACTACTAGCACTAGTACTACTACTTTTACTACTAGTTGTTTTACTACTACTTTTACAACTACAGCTATTGCAGTAGTTGCTACTGCTACTACTACTATTACTACTTTTGTTACTAGTACTACTACTTTTATTTTACAACTAGTACTACTATTTATTTTTTTTACAACTACTGCTACTACCACTACTACTACAACTTCTACTACTACTTTTACTCCGATTTTTTTTGTTTTTATTACTAGTTTTGGTACTGGTTTTACAACTACTATTACTACTAGTACTTCTACTTTTTTTGAACCTGTTTTGTCCTAAAGTTCTTCATCTCTCCGTTTGGCTGCAGCTCATGAGTGGCTCTGAGTTTTCAGACGTGTTGGTGTGAAAATGCTGCACAGATTAAGAGATTTAAACACAAAAGTCTGATTTCTCTAAACTCCCATAATCCTCTGCTTCCAGGTTTGGATCTTAAGTCTGATTTTTGGAGCATATTGAGTTCCTTGATGGTTCCTTCTGCTCCGATCTCAAACACTCTGCCGGATTACACAGATTACACTCAAATAAAACCACTGCAATATTAAGAATAATCCAGATTTCAGTGTCTGAGAGGCGACTGAGGGTTTCTAATGTAGAATTCAAGTCAGATGTTTGATCAGACCTTCTCGGCCCGTGTGCCCGTTCATTTTTTTGAATTTTAATTAAGAACAAAAAACAATAAAATAGGACTATTTCATTATTTCTTTTTAGTGTCAAAAAAACAAAAACAAACAGATTTTGAGTAAATTTTCAAAAAAGTCTTGGTACCTATTTCAATTTAGATTCTGTATTTTATTCTCTCTGGTTTATTTGCTACAGATTTTCTGCTGCTGCTGCTGCCCACTGTGTAGTTTTTAAATTTTTGATGCATCAGTCTGTATCAGTGGATGTTATAGACCAGGAGTGTCAAACTCATTTTGTTCCGGGGGTCGTATCCAACCGACTTTGATCCCAAAGTGTCCGGATCAGAAAACTCATGTCATATAAACCCCAAAAATAACAATAAGTTCAAATATTTGTGCAGAGAAACACAAATCTATTACAGAAATCTTTTTTAACTGATGAACTCTTTCTTTTACAAAATATTATAATATTATGAACAACCTGAAACTTTAAGAAAAATACAATTTCAACACAAAGTTTTAACATGAACTTGTTTTGTAAACAGGAATAAGTCAATTTTTGTTGTAAAAATCCTGCACTCGGCTCCACTTTTCTCATGTTGGACATTTTTCTGATGAGGGTGTCACGGTCAACAGTCAAAACGATCGTCCTTTAAGAGCGTTTGGAAAGAGACAAGTCTTCATTTGTGCTGCTCTGGTGGGAGGGGCCACGTACAGAGACGCTGGAGACGCTGCTGTGCTAAACACCACAGAAAATTATCAAGATTTTAATAGAAAATATAATTAAAATATTTTAGTAGAAAATCAGCCGAGGGCCAGATTAAAGGTCTTGGAGGGCCGGTATGTTTGACACCTGTGTTATAGACTGTGGCTGCCATCGAGATCCAGGTTAAATACGTCAAAGAATAGTTTGGAGCAGGAAAGACACGTGAGGAAATTTCTACCAAACTGAAGCAAAATGGAATTATGATTGAAGATTTTGTGAAAAACACAATTTAAGACACAAAAATAAAAATAAATATTGTTTTTATTATAGATTCATGGTTGACACTGAATTCACACTCGGTGCTGAGCAGCAGAACTTCCAGGGCAAATAAACCAGAGAGAATAAAATATCAGAACTGAAATAGGCACCAAGATTGTTTTTTTGATTAAAGTTTATTTCTAATAGCACCAAATTAAATACTGAAAATAGAGGTCAAAAACTAGTTTTTTTTTTTGTTTGACACTAAAACATAAAAATGACATGAACTTTTTTCCCCTTTTCCTATAGTTTTAAGAGCTTTTCACACATATTATTTAATTTATAACTATAGGCATTATTACTTATTTGTTGTTGAAAACCAAAATATATTCATTGAAAATAACAAAACAAAAAGTTGCTTCTACTCTTATTCAATTTGCCATGGTGCAAAAAAAAAAAAATCCTCTGTGCGCTGTGTATTACTTTTTGTTTCACAATACTTTCCAACTAATTATATTTAGTTCATAAATATAACTAGACGAATAACTTTAATTTCAAACTGCACAACACGGTGGTGAACTCCCTTTTGTTCAACCTTTCTAGATTTCTGAAAGTTTGAATAAGTGAGGAGTCCTTGTGATGCTCTTGTAAACCTTTCCAGATTTATGAAGGTTTTAATAACTCAATTATCCAGATGTCACTGTTTGAAAGGAAACAAAAGGAGCTTTTAACGCCGGAAACCAGTCAAACGTTTGGTTTTACTCTCTCATTTACAGTTTTTCTACTTTCTATGTAATAATTTTCTATTTCGTTTGTAAGAATTTCTATGAAACGGCAGCAGAAAGGAAGAATGAGTGAGTGCTTTGTAAGATTTGGTATTTTTTGGCATTTCTATTTAATCAGATTGTTTAGACAAATTCAAAGTTGTATCTGTTTTTCTATAAATACAGTTTCGTAGTTCTTTTTTCTGCATAGATAGTAGTTTTTTATGAGCTCCCCCTGCTGGTGTGGTCTGGTGAGTACAGTTTGGGTCAGAGATTCGTAAAGGTTCTGAGAGCTTTGAAAAATGTCTTAAGGACTTGGGCTTGACCCGAAACGTCACATTGTGGTGTCATTAAAATAAAAATTCCATAATAATTTCATACTGCGCATCATGGCGGTGGCCTCTCCTTGGTTCAACTTTTATAGATTTATGAAAGTTTTAGTAAGTTAGAAGTCCTTGAAATGTAGATTAATACATTTATTTAAACCTTTCCAGATTTACGAAGGTCTTAACTTTATAAATACACAGTTTTCTAGTCGTTTTTTTCTGCAGAAATAGTAGTATTTTACATGAGCTCCCCCTGCTGGTGTGGTCTGGTGAGTGCAGTTTTGAGAGCTTTTGACACACACACTTTTTAAAAATGTCTGAAGAAGCGCTTGGGCTTGACCAAAACGTCACATTGTGGTGTAATTAAAAGAAAAATTCCATAATATTTTCATACTGGCAGGATGGATTTCTGGAGTTCTGAAAGTTTGAATAACTTCTTGTCTTTTTGTTTCAGGAGGTGCTGTGGCGAGCTCAGATCCAGCCCCTGACGACTCCACTTCCGCTCCCGCCGTTCCCTCCACGACCTCCGACCTCCTCCAGCCTCAAGAGGGCGCCAAGGAGCCCAAACCCGGCAGGAAGAGCAGCGCCAAGACCGGAGACGAGTCGGACAGCGACTTCGAATCGGACCCTCCGTCGCCCAAGAGCAGCGAGGACGAGGAGGGGGAGGAGGAGGAGGCTCTGAACAGCGAGCACGGAGAAGACACGGAACCGGAAAACCTAGGACAGCTCCCCCTGCTGATGGACTCCGATGAAGAACACAGCTCCGATTCGGATTGCGAGACGGGCAAAGCGAAGACGCGCTCGAAGAAAAGCATGAAATCCGCGAATGTGTCGAATCAAGCCGGGATGAGTTTGATTACGCCGCCGCAATCCCCGGAAAAGCTCACGGTGACGTCGGCCAAAAATCCAGACAGCGTTGACGTTTTCGGAGCTGTGCCGTTTCCGGTCGGGATAACGCACAGCACGTCGGATATTTTCTCACAAGCGCCTTTCCGCCAGACTAGCCATGAAAAGCAGCAACAAGCGGACGATTTCGACGTCTTCACCAAAGCGCCGTTCAACCGGAATCTCTCCAAATCCGGGACGCTTCCGATGGGGCAAACCCCGCCCATCTCCCCAGAAGGCGGGATCGACATTTTCGGATTTTCACCGTTCCAACCCGGATCCAACGCGCCCTCGACGCTCCCGACGACGTCACGGAGCGCGGAGGACATCTTTTTCCGTCAGTCCTGCGACGACTCGAGCCCGCAGCAGCAGCGCTTAAAGCAACGTAGCCTTCAGAAGCTGTCGTCGAGGCAGCGGAAAACGAAGCAAGACCCGAGCGGCGGCGGCAGCAACGGGAAGAGGCACCACGGGACGCCGACGGGAGCGAGAAAAACCAACAAGCCCACGTACCGAACGCCGGAGAAGGTCAGGAGACACAAGAAAGTCGGAAGGAGGGATTCGCAGAGCAGCAACGAGTTCCTGAGCACGTCCGATTCCAAGGAGAACATCAGCGTGGACGTGACGATGGCGGAGGGGGACGAGAAGGCGCCGACCATCCCAACGGAGGACGCAATCTTGGATCCGTTTGGCGCGAAGCCGTTCCATCCCAACCTCGGCGAAGGGAAGCTGGAAAAGTCGTGGAGCGGAGAGGCCAAAACCATCGACGATTTCGGGGCGGTGCCGTTCACGGAGTTTGTTCCGCCGCAGCAGCAGCAGCAGCAGCAGCAGCCGCCGCCCGTGGAGCTGGACCCGTTCGGAGCGGCGCCTTTTCCCTCGAAACAATGAGTCTATCAAAACCACAAAATGTCTTCCCTTCTTTACGCGTTTTTTACATGGATCGTGGCGTCCGTGTTGCTTTCGAATGACTTCTTTTTGAATACAAACCTGTGGAGACGAGCGTTCGGTGTAAAAGGACCAGAGTTCTGCCTCATGCTGCATTTTTGCGCTTGTCACAAACTTGGAAAGACTGATGGGAAATGTTTGTACGTTTGACTGTGGATTGTACAGTTAGTTTGGACTGTTTTGTTTTGGGGCCGTAGGGGGGATCGCTACATTACAGATTGTAAAAATGAGCCTAAAACGCGGCGTGTCCAGTGTTCATCTTCACCACAAACTTACATAAATTCAGGCACCAAAGTATTTAGTTACCAATATATATATCTGAAGTATTAAGACATTTGTTTACATTTTTTTAAATTTAATTTCAGTCTTTATCCACAGAAATATTGCTTCATATTACGTTGCCTTTATGTGAAATGAACATGAACAAACTGAACAGTCGTGGGTCCAGTCTGAAAGAAACTGCAACAAAAGTCAAATTTTTATTTATAATGGACAAGTTATTTATTTTTTATGAAATATTTAGTCCAGATTTTACTTCTCATTTTTTTGCCTCGATGAAAGGCCTTTTTAAAAACACCCGTCAGTCAGATGTGTGTAAAATCCCTCAGTCGTTCAGATTGAATCCAAAGGCAAAAGGAGAAATTCAGTTTATCGACTGGAAAAGTTTATTTGGTCGAAAACGTTTCTCAGTTCATCCAAGCTGCTTCTTCAGTTGTGGTCAGACGCTGGTGGACACTTCCTTATATCTGTCTGAAGGGAGGAGCTAACTACACTGAAACTACTCTGGAACTAACACACCTACACACTTGTTTACAGTTTCTGTTCGTGCAAGTTGAAAAGGCAGAGCTCACTGAGTGTCGGGTCATATTGGCAGAATGATTCAGGGTCCATCATGACCCTGAATCATTTTACACCTCTGGACCTGACCTGGCATCACTGTTGTTTTCTTTACTTTGATTTGTTTTAGGTTTGAGGATGAAGTTGTAAATAGGAGACAGATTGTGTCTGAGTCTCCATTTCTGTCGACGGAAGGTTTTTCTTTCTTAACAAAAATGGCGTCTTTAACTTTAACTCCCCTCTCAAACCAATCCTTTTCTCTGGCTCAGATCTGTTAGTCAGTCTGGCGCCACCTAGTGCCTCTGCTCAATTTCATTTCTCTCCAGCGACTAGATCCGGAATCAGAATACACTAGACGATTTACAAAAACCCCAGAAGTGCAAGTTCAGCGAAGAGCCAGACATTCTGTGTTGGCAACGATTCCCGAGATCGAGGATTTGAAGACGGAGCAAAGAGAATGTTTGGTGAATTTTATCAAGGGGAAAGACGTTATTGTCCTTCTTCCTCGGGATTTGGGAAAAGTTTACCTATTGTCAATCGAACAAATCCTAATGCTGCGAGGTCACACGGTTTCCACGAAGTGAAACCTTCTGATGAATCCGGCTACAGATCTGTACCTCACTGTCCTCAAAAGAGTGACCTGACAGCCTTTAGGTGAAGACGTACGGCAGACTGAGGTCCGCTGCTGCTGCTGAATTTCTCCTTTTGCTGTCAATCAAAAATAAACTTTAAGCTTTATTTATACGTTTATACTCCGACGAGGCTCAGATCGCACCAACACTCACTCACCACATCCATACCGGGCGATGTGGGCGAAGTGTCTCGCCTAAGGACACAAATACACATCACGGTCCGTGTGGTTCGAAAAGGTCCAAACAAACAGTCCAGACTAACCGAAAAAAAAAAAAAAAAAAAAAAACCCGCGCCGCGTCCGAGCTCCGGCCTCGCCCTCGTTTTTTTTGTCGCACCATAATGCCTTATACTGCCACGTACCTCCTTCTGTGAGCCCACCAATCTGAACCAAACTCAACCAAAACCCGAACCACGCCCGAGCTACGTCCGAGCAGCGCCGGACTTTTGGGAGGCGCCGCAAAATAACCACTTTTTTGGACTCTGAATGGGCCTTTACTCTCTATGCATTATCCAGACCTGTGTTTTAATAATATTCTTATTGAAGCAGAAGGGATCGGTGGAAGTCGACGTGCTGGTTTGAGTTTGGACGTAGCATCGCCTTGTGTTTCTCTGTAAGATTTTTGTATGAACTCTACACATTTGTTAAGAGTTGAAATAAAACTCAAAGGCACAGAAATCACTCGTTTTTTCTTTCCTTCTAACTGTTTTTACTTTTAACTGTTTCAGCACGTAATTTTTATCCTCTTATGTTCTTCTATTACTGACCTCTTGTGGCTGAAGTAGGTATTGCTTCACCCACTCACCTTTAAGTGTGTTAAATCTGTGTGTCGTTCCTTCATTCGTTTTTCAATATAAAACCAAAAATAAGAAAACAAAAAAGAAACAACAGTTTTCTTCATTATTTGTCTCCAAAACCAAAATAAAAAAACAGATAATGATTTGTTTTTTCAGTTTTCGATTTTGTGTTTAAATGAAAAATGGAAAAAACGGATAACGGCCGTTTCCTGTTTACGTGACTTAAACTCCGATGTTGGACTTTTGCACTGCATACGGACTGAACCAGGACTGATCCAGGTCCGGGACCAGACCGAGACTGAGAGAGGGACTGGGACTGAGACCAAGCCGGGACCAGACCGGGACCAGACCGGGACTGGACGGGACGCTCAGAGCCCACGGTAGGGCTGGAGCTCGAAGCTGAGGCTCGGAGTCAAAGCTCAGAGTCTGGTGTCCCTCTCTGGTCCTGCCCTGGTCCCGGTCTGGTCCCGGACCTGGATCAGTCCTGGTTCAGTCCGTATGCGGTGCTAAAGTCCGACATCACAGTCACGGACGTCATGTAAACGGGAAACGGTTGTTATCCTTTTTTTTCATTTTTAATTTAAACACAAAATCGAAAACTGAAAAAATAAATCGTTATCTGTTTTTTTCATTTTAGTTTTGGAGACAAATAACGAAAAAAACTGTTGTTTTTTCCAACTCAAACAATCCACTTCAGAGACTTTTATTTTACCAAATTTTGCAATTTTTATGTTTTTGGTATCTAAAAAAAAATATTTTTGGACCTAAAATGGCCCATATTTAAAAGAAATTGTTTAAAGTTTCATGATTTCATGGAAAGTTTGGACAGAAGACAAAAAATTTCAGACTATCTCGGCACGTCATTTTTATCGTCTTATGTTCTTCTATTACTGACCTCTTGTGGCTGAAGTTGGTATTGCTTCACCCTCTCATGTTAGAATCTTGTTACCTCCTCAAAAACAGACTCATATCTAAAAGAAATTGTTTAAAGTTGATGATTTCTTGATAAGTTTGGACAGAAGACAAATAGAAAAACGATTTGAGCTTTTGAAAGTTTAAAAAAAAAAGTTAACTCTGTTGCATTTTACAGCACTTTAATGTGGCATGAACAGTTTTTGACACGAAAAATATCTTAAGACGCTCTTCCTTATTTATATAACGACGACAATCTCCAACAAAAATGACAGAAATCACAAGTTTTTTTTTTCTTGTAACTGTTTTTACTAATTATTTTATTGTTTTTTGTTTATAAAATCGGACACATATCAGGGGTGTTCACACTTTTTCATCATGTGAGCTACTTACAAAATGACCAAGTCATAAAGATCGACCTAATACAAAGCCAAACAAACTGCACTGAAACACTCTGTGCCCCTTTTTTGGACCCTCCCCCACAGTTTGAGAACCTCTTCTTTAAGAGAACTTCCTCTGGCACTTTACACAAAACTGTGAAAAAAGTGAAGGAAGATTTTTAAACCTGTTTTTTAAAAGTTCCAAACTGGAGTTTCATTCTTTTCTGGTTTTGCAGTGATATTTACCAGCCTCTGCACGTTTACCAAACCAAACGCACATCGTGACAAACACAGATGCATTTGTCACTTTTGTTAGACAAACTTCAGCCAAATGTGGCAGTAGGTCTGTTCTGTAGATCCGCTCTATGCTGTAGACCTGCTTTGTGCCAACACTGGAACACAAATTTAGACTGGTTTTTGCTTCACGTTTGGTCTTGCTTCTTCTAATCAGCCGCACTGTGGGAGGGGCTTGTGTTCGGCTGTACGCAGGAAGGAGCGAGAGCGTGAAAAGGCGAGGGGCGGCGTGCTGACGTGAGGCAGGTGGACAGGTAGGATGTTTAGGAAGTTGAACCTGCCCTGTGATGCACGCTGGTACACGAGGGCACACGCTGTCGCAGACGAGCCGTGCATAGGGAGCGTGTGTGTTTGTGATGCGCCGTAGAGTCTCCGCGGGTTTCAAATGAGCGCACAGGCTGCACTGAGACGCCCCACACGCTCCTGCACCCGCTACAAGTTTATTACCAACAGCAGCGGCCGGAATGAAATATGATCACACTTGTTGAGTGTCAGACCTCGAGTGAGAGACAAGACCGAGTCCAAACGCGAGTCCGAGACGAGACACGGCGATCTACCCACACGACCTTGGCGATCGACTGGTAGATCGAGATCGACGTATTGAGCACCACTGCTTTATATTCTCAAGCCTTTTAACTTTACTACATAATGAATAAGCTGTATGTTAAGATGTCAAAAGTATCGAAAATTAGATACCAATCCAAAGCCAGTATCGAAAGTAGATACTCGTTTGAGCAGGTATTGATACTAAAAAGTTCCATTCAAGACAGAAATGAACCTTTCCTGAACAGCTTTAGAACAGGGGTCTCCAACCTTTTTCATCTAGTGAGCTACTTTTCACAAAACGAAAATTCTGAAGCGCTACTCATTTTAGAGGTTGCAAGAAAGTGAGTAAATATAAGAGCCAGCCAGCCATGGGGTACAGTTACCGTATTTCTCAGACTATAAGTTGCACTTTTTGGGGGGAAATATATTTTATAAAATCAGAGACTAGGAACCAACAAAGTCAAGTTGTAGTAAAAACAATAGAAGAGATAAACTATAACATCAACAACAGAACAAGTTTACCAAACTCTCCATCTCACTCCAAATCACTAAATCCATTCAATTCTTCATCCTCAGTGTCACTTCTGAACAACTCGGCCTCGACCTCCGGAGGTAAACAGAGCGACGCAAACTCTTCTGTGTCGCTGTCGTCAGACTCAGTGTCATGTAGAAACAGAGGGAGGACCCAAAATCAGGACTGCTTTTCAGTTGTTTAATGCAACAAAAACAAAACAAATCCAAAAATAGAAACTACACTAGACATGAAACTGCCCTTTGTTGGTCCATTGTCTTTGTCTTTGTCAGAGGAAAACACAGTGTATATAAGCACACAGGTACAGGTGAAACACATCAGGGGGAGGCAAACGATCAACAGACAGGAAGTAAAACTCTAAACTAGAAGCTGACAGGACAAATGTCAAAATAAAACCCTAAAGGCACACTACACTACTGTAAAAAAATATACCAAAAGAAGCAAAAACAATGACTACAAAACATGAACCATGACACTCAGCATCAGTTCCA